CCGCCTTCCCCGTCCCGCCAGGGCCGTGACTTCTCCTTTGACGACTGCGGCCGGGCCTTCCCCTGCCCGCCCGTGGCGGAGCCCGGCGCCCCGGCCGAAGCTCTGGTCTGCAACCTGGACAGCCTGCTGGGGACCATGACGCACCGGGTCTGTGTGGGATGGGGCCCTGGGCTCGTGCCGTGCGATGCTGAGCACCCTGGCGTGGGGGTGGGTTCGGCTCCCCCTGAAGCCTTCAGGGTGCCTTCAGCAGGCCCCCAGCAGGGCGGGAAGGGTGCTGGGTGCCCCACGAGGGCCGGGCCCCTTCCGTGCCATCCCTGGGCACGTGGCTTTTCTCTTGGCAGCTCTGTGTGGGCTCCCCGCCTGGCGTGTGGGTCTGCAGCACCGACATGCTCCTCACCGTGCCCTCGGCACCAGGTGAGTGGGTGCCAGCCTTGCCTCCAGCACCCGCTTCGGCTCGGGACAGGGGTCGGAGCTTGCAGTGGCACAGCTGGTTCAGCTTGTGCTGTGCCTCCATGAGGGTGTGGATGTTTGGGTCTTGCTGACCCTTGTGCGGTTGGGAGCATCTGTTGTGCCCGCAGCAAGGTGGCCAAGGCTGGACGCTGCTGTCACCGCCTCTGCCGTGGGCCCAGTTTTCAGGCAGTTGTGCCCAGTGCGGGTACGTTCGTTGCCCCAGCGGGCGCTGGTCTCTGTCCCTCTCCCCAGAGATTGACTGGGACGGCTTCCAGGGCGTCAGAGTGATCGCAGTGCCCGGGAGCCAGGCATATGCCAGGAACCACGGGGTCTACCTCGCCGACGAGCAGGTCAGGAGCGGGTCCCCCCTTCAAGGAGCATCCCTTGGAGGTGCAGGGGTCCCCACCCCTTCTGTCCCTTGGGTGCCAAGGTCCCAGCCGTGCCGCGGCTGCTTGGCTTGGGGCGCCCTGAAGAGCTCGTCGGGGTGGTCTCGCTCCCAGGGGCTGGTGCGCGACATCATCTACAAAGGCACGGAGGCCCAGATCCGGCAGTGTGCGGGGCCCGACGGCACCGTCCCACTGGTACGGCACAACTCAGGTGTCGGTGGCCCTGCCAGCCCCGTCCCTCGTGTCACCATGGCCGTGGCCTCAGCCCCACTGTGCCCTGGCAGGTCTGCGGGGTGGTTTTCTTCTCCTCGGATGCCGCTGAGCAGCTTCTGGCCACCCATGTCGTCCCTCCTCTGGATGCCTGCACCTACATGGGGCTGGACTCGGGTGCACCACCCATCCAGGTGACAGCCCCTCCGCGGGGGACGGGACCTCTTGCCCCCCGGGCGCCGCTGCTGGGCATCTCTGTAGGGCCTGTTTGCTCCTGTGCTGCCAGATTTGGGCAGGAGAGGTGGCGGGAGGGGAGCACCCAGCAGCAGGGTTGGGGACAGGGTGGCTGCACCGTCCGGCCCGGCTGCACCCAACAGGTCCCTTGTCTCTCCAGCTCTCCCTTTTCTTCGACATCGTGCTGTGCATGGCAGGGGGGATGACGGAGGAGGATTTCGTGAAGGGTGGCGGTGACGCCATCGTGAGGAGCGCCCGCTCCGTGCTGTGGACAGCTCTCCGCGTCTTCCCTCTTAGCATGGGTGAGTGATGCTGCGGTGGGTGCACGCGACATGACCCATCCCTGAGCCTTCTTCCCCTGCTTGGAGAGAGATGGGGCGGTCAGGGCCTGGCACCCGGCTGTTTCTCCCCACAGCTGCGGGTCCCCACGTCTTCTCTCCCCACCCCTTCGACTGGGGATGTTCAGCCTGGCTGCCCTTGGCTCACGCGGGTGTCAGGCACAGCCACGTTTGCCGTCAGTGTGCCGACAGCTCTCCTGCTCCCCTGCAGCGTGCATCCCCGACGCATCCTACGACTACATGACCACCTCTGCGAGCGACCATATCTGCAGCCTGACGCTCCTGCCTGGCTCTGCCAGCCACTTCCACTTCTGCAAAACAGCCCATTCCCATGTGGACGTACGTCCTTCCATCCCCAGCCTTGCTCACGCACCGTTTTTTGGGGGGTCGCTCCGGGCCGCGTGGCCGGACCCCGGTCCCACGTGCCTCTGTGCCCCCGGCAGCAGCCCTGGCTCCTGGAGGATGGCTCTTCTCTCACCAACTGCCTTCTGGAAGGAGCCGTGCGGCTGGCGGCCGGCAGTGTCATCCAGCACTGTCACCTCCAGGTATGTGGCCAGGGAGGACCCTCTGAGTCCTCAGTGCGCTGAACGGGCAGCGGGGTGGGATGGCCCTGGCTGGGATGGGGGACCCACGGCTGTGAGATTTGGGGTGAGGTTCTTCTTCCTGGCTGCCTTTTGACTGGTGCTGGGGACCCTGGTGGTTGTCACCCTCCCCGGGCAAGGGGAGGAGGCGGCTGTCACCGCTGGGCTGTCCCTCCCTGGGGACCAGGTCAGACCCTCTCCTTGGGTACTTTATCATGGCTGAGAGCCCTGGAGGATGTCACCTGGCCTGAATTTGCACAGTCCATGTCTTAACAGCCCCGTGACAAAACCCAGGGTGGTTGTCCCCTTCCGAGGTTGGGGTCTGGCTCTGGTTTGGGGGCTGCTCTGGGGCCAGCCGCCCCACTCCGTGCCCTGC